TTTTAGAAATTGTATCAGAACTAAAGATAAATTCTAAGATGAGTCTTATCTTTCTCTGACCTTTCCTTAGTTCTTTATCTCCTGGCACAAAGCTCTGCATGCAAATAGATTATGGCCCATTTTAAGAAAGACTACTTTTCTTCCAGAAAGCTTGGATATATTTCATTTTCTCTTCCCTTGAGCAACTTGTTTGTCCTTAACTCCCCTGTCTAAGTCTATATTAAAATTGTCTTTACTGTACCAGCTATTCTTAAAATTCCCTTCAGCAATTAAAGACAGGAATGCTGGTTTGGCTTACGTAGAGTTCTCTATGGCTTAAAACTCCTCAGGCTCCTAATGATGACCAGGTGACAGCTATGTCTGTCAGTTCTGAAGTCCCTGGGTGCTCCTGATGAGATCTATCTTGAAACACTGGTGAGTTTCTCATGTCATCTGTATGGTCTACCCTGCTAAACACTTGGGGTTCCTTTGCTTCTATTTCTCTGGCCAAAAAACCCACTTAAAAATCTCATAGACTCATCCATAGTTTGCTACCTGAGTTAGATACAACATGTGGTTTTTTTCTGGGATACATGGAAGGAGCTGACTCCCAAGAAGGCCTCAGCCAGTCTCTTGCCTCCAAGAGAACAGCCTGAGATAACTACACGTTTTGTTGTTGTTGTTTTTTGTTTTTTTTGGTTTTTTTTTTGGTCTTTTTGAGGCAGGGTCTCCCTGTAGCCCCAGCTGTCCTGGAGCCCACTATGTAGAACAGGCTGGCCTGGAAGTCACAGAGATCTGCCTGCCTCTGCCTCCCAAGTGCTGGGATCAAAGGTGTGTGCCACTTCACCAGGCTTACAACATGTTATTCTTAACCTAAAATTTTAATGTTTCCTTTACTGTTGCTGCTATAGCCTCTGATTTATGTTATGCTAATAGCTTATACACAGGAAACTCTACTGGTTTCACATATAAAGGCATCCCCCCTGTAAGAGACATTAAATATTAGTCTTCTCTTTCAAATCCTGCAAAATTTAGACCTTGGTTTATGACAAGAAATTCTAATCTTTTAATCCCACCACACGTGAAGCATTCCTGAGCCTGATGGCCTGTGGCAGCTGAGTTCTTTAGAGTTCCTCCCTTTGGGTAGAGTCTTTTAAACTGGATCTGACTGACCATGCAATGCACCCTTATTGAAAGGTGAAATCTGCTTTGCCAAGTTACTATTGCTTTCTCCACGCATTCTTTGTGTGGTATTAATAGGGTTTTTAGATAACAAGTTTTACTTATAACACCCTTCAGTTATTTAGCTCTTAAAAAGAGAAAGAGATAATACCTTAAGTCTGCATTGAAAACTTCACTCTTTCTTTAAGGCCACTAAGCCTTTTTTTTTTTTTTTTTTAACAAATTAAAGAACTAGAGATAGAAGCTTTCTACCTTCTCTCATTCGGGTGCACCTGGCTTTCATGTAATTGTGTTATGTGTATGATAACTCTTTTCATGTATTGTGTCAAGACAATTTTTTTAAAACTGTGGCCACTTCAGTTTTTTCCCTTTTTTTATTGTGCACAAGAATTATTATTTTTATTATTTTTGGCATGCAAGATTAAAATGCACATGTGCAGATTTATAAATGTATTTTGCTAATACATTAAAAAGCCTGATAAATACATACTACATTTACTCTAAACATCTACAGAAAAAAAACCTATTAATATCTTTGGGTCTATTAGTGTTCCACAAAATCTTTAAGTGCTAATTGTTTACACTAAATGGTATTCATTAAAATTATAAGATAAATATTTCAGTAAGCTATAAAATCTAACATTATATACATAGATTTTCATTAGGATTTCCTTCCCCAACAGGTTCTAAATACATAGATACAGACAATTTCAATTGTGTAAGAGTCAGAGGTAGCAATCATTTCTCTTTCAAAAATACTTCTTAATAGGAAACTACTAAATGTAAGATTTTATTAAAGTTAGATTACATGTAAAACAAATGGGTGTAATAGAGGTAGCAATCGTTTCTCTTTCAAAAATATTTCTTAATATGAAACTACTAAATGTAAGATTTTATTAAAGCTAGATTACATGTAAAACAAATGGATATATATATTCTAATATATATGTTTTCTAAAGCTCTTTAGTTTAGTTTCCTTTTCATAGTAAAAATTACAGGAGATACATTCTCAGCAAAAATTGATTACAAGATCTTGGTAGCTAAAAATCTTTTATATATGACTACATGTGAATGCACTGTCTACATGAGATTATGTTTTAAACATATTTTTTTTACTTATATCAAATTGGTTTCTAAGTGCTCATGTAAACTGATGTTGTTAAATTAGCCCAACTTCTTTTGTCTCACAGTAAAACTAAAATTTTAAGAGGATTCAACTCCAACATGTTAGCGTGGCCACGTCCAGTATGCTGATTGAAGATATTAAATCAGTGTGACCACTTTGGCAAAGCAAGTAGACTAATGGTGCTAGAAATTGTAAATCTAGATTTTAACATGCGCTTTTAAGTTTAAATGTTTAAAGAATCTTTTTAAGACATGATATACTAAAGTCTGGTTAATATCTTATCTCCTTGACCCTTGTCTCAATTCTTGTTCTATAGCATGCTCTCCTAAGATGCTAAACTTTTATTCCAAGGACTATGAAAGATCACTTATCTCCGCTTTAGGTGTATTTTGTTTGTATGTTATATATTTATGAATACAAACATTTTAGGACTTTTTGATAACTACTACCTCTTTGAAGTCTACCAACAAGTTTGACAAAATGCATATCTTTGCCAAGTGTATGTAAAAACAGTTCTAAACATTTAAAAAGAAAATTGGTCAATTGAGGGTGCTGACAACACAGCGGACAGTAGCAGGGATAACAGAGTATAAGGGCTCTAGTTGGGGGAGGGAGGGTATTGGAGGGTGCCATCTGGGAAGTGGGCGTATAGTTGAATAAGATGGGTTGGGATGTTCTGTGTGATACACACACACACAAATCAGTAAATTTTTAAAAATGAATTATATCTGAGGAGGAAGCATAAAAATTTACATCATGTTAATTAGTAGAGATGATAAACATTACCACTGAAGTCTACCTGATGACATTATAGACATACACAGGTGCCAAGGATCTGAGTGCAACTGATTATGACTAGGAATAATCAGATACATACAGATGAGAGATGCATGCGCCAACATCTCAGATGAGACACATGCGCCAACATCTAAGTGTTAGTAGCAAAAACAATGAGTCTTTCTGTAAGAAACAGTATATTT